TGTATCAGATCTACGATATGGAGCCGCCCGTACGAATCGTAAGACACAAAGGAATCGCTTTGAAAAATCTGGTAGAATCCTTTTATCGAAGTGGAGGACATTGGTATTAAATTATTTAGTAAGGGGAATCAGAGCTTAGTATGTTCTGCCCCCTTTGTTCAATAGATCAGAACTAAATGGATTCGTAAGTCTTCTGCTTGCAGGTGGTCACCTCGCAGGGGTCCACTGATACTGTGCCCGCTAAAGCACTGTTAATCACCTCGGACACGCTTATTAGAATATGTTGGAGACCCTTCCGTCTCTCTCTCTCTCTCTCTCTCGGCGCCCTGCGTTAGAGGGCGATGGCGTCTCGAGATGGCATGTTTTCTCGCGCGGCTCACGTCATGGCCATAGACGACGCATCGTGGCCCAGGGAAGCACGAGTTCACCTAAGGATCCCCTGACATTTGGTGGGTTTGGTGGGGGGGGGGGACGACGTTGGCATCTCGTCTTTGGTTGCCCAATCTTGGTGCGGGATTGCGAATTGCGTGCCATCAACGGCCAATTTTTCGACTCCATTTCTACTACTAGTTTCTTTGGTCTTTTTGCGTGCTTCGGTAGCATCAAGGGCACATCAATTTTGTCCAGGCAGTCCGGGCACCGTAGGGAAGAAAATGGTGCAGGTTTCATCCCTCGAGAACGCTCGCGATGACTAACACCGCGAGCGCCGAGGAAGGGACACGGCCGCCTCGCAAGGTGACAACACAACGTACAGGGTAGGAACCCAAGGAGAACATGAGATGCAGACCGTGAACGCAGTGCACCTTCCAGGCTTGGCCCCCTTTATTTTTCCCACCTCGTCAAACTTTTCCGTCCCCAAATTGTAAATTCTCTCCAAGACCCCTGCCTGCCTTGCCTGCCAACATGTGCAAAGGAAGGAACCGTCGACAAGAGGGCTTGTACAAGGAGAATGAAGAAAAACAATAAAAAAAACCTTGTTGAAAATAAATAAATAAAACAATAAGCAGCGAGTGCTACATTGCTCAGCCGGCCCCCAACGTGCCCCATAGTTTGTTCCTGAATGGTGCGCTGCGCCCGCGCCCGATCCCCGTCCACCGTCCCCCTACGGCCTGTGGCATATGCTTGGCAACTCTCCAGCCCGTTGTCCTTGGCGGGGGGGTCCTGGACTCTTGAATTTTTCCAATTCAAATTTTCTCACCCCCAGTTCCCTTCTCCCTACGGAACACGGCGCTCGCCAAGGGCATGAATGTTGTCTATGGAAAATTGTCAAACTCTCCGGCACTATGACGCCTTTTTCCCCTTGACCCACGGCACCATCCCGAAGACTCCAGAAGTGAGTGGGTGCTGCATGTGCTGGCTTGTGCTGGGCAGTGCCATGTTGAGTCATCGTCGGCTTGGGTTAGAGTCATCGTCACCAAAACAGCTAGGGAGCAGCAGGATTCTTGTGACGCTTGAACTGGTCTTGTATTTCATCATTTGAAGGGTTTTTTTTTCTCTTCATTTCCCCCCTTGCTCTGCATCTCAATCTGGTGCTAGTCCCTTATTCTCCATCGGTGGAGTCAGTCTATGCCTCCCGCTGCCCAGTCGATCTGTCAGATTTGGTAATGCCTATGCCTACTCCAGTGTGCCAGTCCAAGCCGCCCTCATACAATGTTGTTTCCATCTGATGTCGGGGTGATGGGCCCCTAGCTCCTCCGTCGTATAGTCTGAGCCACTTTGCCCATGACGAGCACTCTCGTGAAGTCCCGTGTCGTAATGTAATGAAGCCGAAGAAGGGGAGAGTTCCTCTCGATGCCCCGATGCCTGTGAACAACCTTTGATAACAGACCCCCAGTGTCGTGGTACAGTCCCGGTGAATCCCAATGTTGCGCCCTCATGCGGTTGAGGCAGATGTCCTGCCAAGCCAAGTACTCCCCGTAGTTGACCCAAACTTTTTTATATAATGCAATACTCCGATGTAATGCCCATTTTGTTACAACAAAGTCGAACCAAGGAAAAGAAGCGTTGGTGTGCCATTGGTGTATCGAATAAACTGAGTTGCGTGCTGTGCTGCGAAAGAGGATAATGAAAAAAAAGGCGAGAAGAAAAGGAAAGGGAAAAAAAAAACCGCTATCGTCGAGTGGCCGAGGGTATATTGAACAGTGTGTCGAAGAAAGTTGCCATGGCGGCGGTGGTTGCGGTTTGTTTAGGCGGATCGTCGTCGCTGGAGTCTGGCCTGCTCAAACGACACGGCATAGGCCTGCAATTCTTTTTTGGCCTTGTCTGACAGGTGGCTGGCGTCCACGTTGGACGAGGTGGTGCTCTGCATCGAGCAGAGGCTCGAGTTCGAGTTCGAGGTGGTCAGAGTACGGCGGGTGGATGACGTCCTCGGGGAAGAGAGATAGGACTGTCTGGTGGGCGTGCTTCCGTACGGCTGAGCATTGGAGAAGTCGTAGGCGGGCGAGAGGTGGAAGCTATTGACCTGTGGCCTCGAACCCCAAGGGTAGGAGGGGGTGTTGAGACCGGGCGAGCTGGCAACAGAGCTGGGCGTCGACGTCTTCTCGAAATCGGCAAGGCGGCAGGACTCGGAGCAGTAGGCGGTGCCATCAGTCTGCTTGTCGCAGCCGAGGCAGAACTCGTGGGTCCAGAGGTCGAAGGCGGACATTGTGATATGTGTGTGTGTGTGAGAGATATGTGTGTGTAGAGTGGTTGGTGTTGTGCAGTCTTGTCTATTGTAGACAAGAGGCGTAGACGAGGTGGTAAAGTGGTGGACAATGTGGTTAAAGAGTCAGACGGGTTGCAGTCGTTAAGTAAAAGAGGAGACTGGAAGCCACAGGCAAGAGAGTGAACCACGAACGGATGTTTGAGAGAAAGAGATGAGTGAAGTCGAATGATGGGGGAACGACGGGTGGATCGAGGTGTGGAAAGAGGTCGGCTCATATGTATCTATCCTCAGAGCACATAGCCTGCCCACCCAGAAGAGCACGCCTTTTGGTGGTGGAGAGGTACCATAGGCAGGTTGAGTAAGCGGGAAGGTACTTTGTGTCCTCGCTCTCTGCCTGCAGCCCATGCACACACACACACACACACACACACACGACAAGCACAAGGGCAGGAAGTGGCCGCTAGTGTGCAGACCAGGGTGGAGATGGCGAGATGGAGATGGATGGCAGAGGCAGAGGGACGGCAAGGATGGCATTGGTCTTCTAGATGGGCTGAGCGAGGACCCCACTCGCCGTGTTCTCATGCCCTGCAGCGATGGGCACTGAAGGGGGGGGGAGAGGGGTGTGTGTAGGTGGAAGAGCAGGACGAAGGGGGGTGGGGGAATGGTGTGAAGGAGAATAAGGGAAAAGAGGAGAGGGAGGGGGCAGATGGGAGAGATTGACAGGCGAGATTGGGATTGGGAGGAAGAGAGTGAGAGCAAAAAAGAGAGATTTGGAAGGGGCATAGGGTACGTACCTCTTACAGGGGACCATCCAGCAGATGCTGACGCTGGCGTGTGATGGATTTCTCTGAAAATTTTCTGCGTCAAAGGCGACTGTTTGTGTTGTGTGAGGTGTGGAAGGGGGGAGGAGGGGAGACGAGGAGGGGGGGGGGGGGGGGTAAATGGCGCAAGAGAGGGGTGCAAAAACACAATCATCTGGCGTCAAGCTAAAAACAGCGTGAAGAAGCGGGGGGAACGTACTGCTGGGTGGTGTGCGGGAAACAAGCAAAGGCGTCATATACAATGTACGATTAGGTAAGTTCCTACCTCGTGTACGAATAGGTAGGTACCATTGCTTTCTGCTGCAACAGCAGCTGCAACAGGACCAAGACAGCGACAGCCAGCAGTCGTCGATGACGCGGGGGGGGGGGGGGGGGGGGGGCGTTATGTTGAGCAATCCGCTGCATAAACTAACTCCTGGTGGGCATCTCAGCACATTACGCAAGAGTACACATCAACAGACAGCTCGAGCAGCACATACGCAGTACGCAGTGCGCGCATTACAACTACTATGTACCAAGGTAGCAAGCAGCAAGGCAACCGCCTCATTGTAGCATCGTACCTACGCATCCCCCCAGGCACGGTTCTGCCCGCCCAAAACATTGATGTAATGGATGCAATGGATTGTGCAGTCTGAGTACGTGTACAAAGTACCTACTGTGACTGATTACCTGAGGCATGAGTACAGTCTGCAGACGAGACGAGCCAGAAATTGGCGGTTCTTAGCCAATGGTGGTGAAGATGGTGGAGATCAAGTCCATCACGCAGCGAAGCTAGCTCGTTTCAGCTACGCTAGCTTACTTTAGGACTAGTAGGCATATGGACCATTGGCTGGCCCAAGCTTGTCATCTCTCGAACCGCACGCCTCTTCCATCCACTTCTCCTTCTCTTCCCCTGCTCCCATTCAAACTATGATCGACGCCCACGCCCTCCCGAAAAGATGCTATCAGACCCGGACCCCGGCCTCCCTTCTGAAGAGGAAGAGGGAAGAAAGAAAAAAAAACAGTCATTGGGCCAGATCTAGCGCTGCCCCTCTCACGTCGTGTCGCCGGCCAGCCAGCCAGCCCGGAGCGGTACCGGATACAGGCAGCACTCTGGCCATTGTTGAAGACTGCCTGCACGACTGCTGCTAGCAGCGAAATGAGAGCAACAAGCACGACCCGGACCAGTCTCGACGATGGTTGTTGTTCTCTTTTCTGGGCGAAACCCCGCTTGCCGGTCCGTCTACCTGTGAGGAGCACGGGTAGAGAAAGAAAAGCCCTTCAACCTCATCTCGACAAACCAGCAACATTCCTCCATCCCTACATCTCCCGTGTCCACCCCTATCGCTCTCCCGATTGTTCACGACCATCGCGGCCCTGGCCGACATGCCTGCTGTCGACTGGTTCGAGCTATGGAGCCCGCGTGGGGGGCTGGTGTCCGCAAAAATAGCGACAGCGGCCGTCCCCTTCTCCACGCTCCACTCTCCACTCTCCACTCTCGGAGAACGGAGAATGGCAGCAGAGCGGCCGGCGGCACCCGCAACACACCATACACAAGCACTGTACTATGTACACTACTATGCAGGCCACCCACGCTACGCAGTGAACTATGTGCACTGGGAGAGGCGGCCATCGAATGCTACGCCGCCGGTGGGTCTCCTCTCGGCTGCAGACAGACGGGCAAAGGACGCCCGGTGCGACCAAACAAGCACCTTGACGTTCTCGCCTGCCTCTGCGGCGGCCCTCCTCTCGTCTAGCCGCTTCGTCGTCTCAGTCCACAACCACGCAATGATCGGCCTCGCTGCATGAGGGTTCCGCGAGGGTAGGGGGAGAGGCCAGGCAAAGACCGTGGTTGCCCTCATTGGCCACGCCCCAAACTCTGCAGATCCCGCGCACATTTCAACATCCATCCCGTGGGGTGGCGCCAGAGCAGAATCTGGGGTTCGCCATCACCCGTCCGCCTCTGTACCGGCTCATCCCAGCTCGCACCCACGGCATTTGCAGCCTGGAAGAGGGGGACGGAATTCGGTTGTCGTCTGCTCCTCGACTGCATTTTGCAACCCAGGCTATGCCCGGTCGAGAGTTTCGACGCCATCCTCATGACCGCCTTAACCCGGGTATGCCTGGCATGACAACCAAACGTTATTTCGCTCCTGACAACTCCAAGTCCGTCCACGGGATCTCGCTGCGTAGCCTTCGCCGTGGCATCGCAACACCGTGGAGCCATGCCACCCACGATCGCCTGGTTTACTGACTGTCATCATCGTCTCGTTTTGCGGGCCATTGGTGTCTCTCTGTTACAGGCACTGCGAAACCCGATGCGGGCCAGAGGCTAACGCCTTTGGATTAATCCCAAATGCACACCTTCCAAAACCCGCCCCCCATGATGTACGCTACCCTCGCCGAGCGACAAGATTATGGAGCTAGCCCGCCAGGGATGCTGGAGATCTCGTGCTTCACGTAACACTGCGCTCCACTCCCCCGGCCGGCGGCAGCCACGGACGCTGTCCAGGAAGAAAATCATCACGTCGCCGACGAGTCGATGGCCACACGGAAACCAAGTACTCCAGGTAAGAGAACCAACGCCGCAGGCCGTCGTCTGTTTGCCCTTCTGCAACTCTGCAGCCCCTCCATCCTCCGTCTACCATCCATGCAGTTGGAAACCGCTGCGAGCCAAGAGCGGCTAAACCGGTTTAGCGTCCGCCCGCATCCTGCTCTGGGGCGGGGGAAAGAAACAAGCGCAGGACGTCGGACAAATCAGCATGGCGAAAACCCTCCCCACACCACGAGTCGACCGATGGACAGCCCACCTGACCATGACACCACCGCCGACGCCTTTCACACTCAGACCTGCATCCCGCGGCCCTTCATGCATCTGCTGCATCGCGGATTGTTGCAGGAGCCAACCCTGGACCGAGCTGGTTTGCCAGGAGCTCGTCGCCGTCGTCACCCCGGGAGGATCTGACGCTTTGTTCGACCGGTCCCTCGCGGCTGCTGTCGCCCTTTCGAGCGTGCCTCGCGACGGTGGTGATTGGTCACCTGGCCGCATGTCGCTGGCACGTTCAAGGCGGTCCTGATGGGCGAGTCTAAAGCTTCAAAGCCGACGCTAATCACGCCTGACGAGACTATTCGTCCCGTCAGTGTTGCGATAATCGCCGCGATCGTCTCGCGAATGCCTGCCGCCCTCTCGACAAGGCTGCCGCGGGTATCTGGGAAAAGCACACCATTGGCGGCGGCGAAGGGTCTTCTTGTCTCTGGCGATAGAAGAGAGACAAGAACCCCATGACTCCTGTTAGCTTGGTTTCAACCTAGCGGCACCCTCCAGATAAGCCGACTCGACTCTTCATGCGCCCGCCCCAATCAGACGGCCCACAACAACCGCCCCCCGAAACGTCTTGCCAGGACCTGGCACGCTGCGCAACAACATTGGCAAGATGGCGACTTGAATTCGATTTCCCTACCTATTGCCAACCCGCACCGGGAGTTGTGGGGTTGGCGCAATCGAGGCCGCATCCCGAGGGCCCACAGATCTGGCGCGGGATGATGGGTACCCACGGCGAGCTCGCGATACGCGTGCTCTGCGCCCGCAAAAGATAGTGCTACCTCGCACCGAGTGGGATGCCCCAAGGCGATTGAGTGCAGAGGGGAGGGTTCCCGATCCAAGGGAAAGCAGTACGGGCAAAGCCTCGGACGGACTGAAAAGGATTATCATCAAGTCGAGACGGGGACACCTTAATGACAGAGGCGAGTGCGTCCATTTGACCCCGTAGCGGACGAGCAAAGTTGAAGGGCCGGGGTCGCTAGACGTGGTGAAAGTTAGCGCGCCGCCCTTTGCCAACTCTGATGATTGACGGCGGGAGGCTCTGACTTGGCTGAGATGAGGACATGTTAGAGTTCGATCGAATGGCAACCGCGACAGGGGCCAAGGACAAAAAAATAACTTGCTGCACTGACACCATCCCAACGGCGACTGGTGCCAGAGATGCAAAGCAGGACCTGGGCCTAATCCGATGCCCGGACATTTCAGAGCCTCCCGCGCTTAGCGGCACGCTCGGCGAGCCCGTCCAACGAACAAAAATTCAGGCCGTAGGCAAATAACAGACACTCTCAATCAAACCAGTAGAAGTTTGGTCGGGAACCCAAAACACAGGCGGTCTTGGTTCCGAAAGCATGCTCCCAGGACATGCCGTGCTCATCGTAGGACAACTACCCCTATAGAGCTCGCGCTCCGAGCGCTATCTCGGTCGGATCGGGGCTGGATGTGGAAAGGGGGTGGGTTGCATTTGGGGGGTCGCCATTTATTTCAACGCACGCCGATGATCCAGCAATGTCCCGTGCTGGTCCTTATCTCACTAATACCCCCGGCAGCATCGCGACGGCCGCACACATGCATGCCGACCAGGACTCGCGGCGTTCACCACATCCGCGACTGGCATCTCTGAGCAGCGTCGGTCTCATCCCCTGACAGCGACCGTTCTTAATTCCAGATGCCGCACCGCAGCCCCATTGACGAGCGAATACCACCTCTGCCGCGCCCCTGGCACGGGCCATGCGGGAGGACAGGGGACAGACCTGACGCGCCCGCAAAGGGTGCTGGGGGTGGAGGTCATGAACTCATACCTGAAGTAGTCTACATGAGGAATGAAGAAAGGGTGTTCGGGTCAGTCGTCTCGAGACCTATCGAACCTCGACCAGCCGACGTGGGACGGCTGGATGGGGGGTTGATCATCATTCGCCCGACGACGAAAAATTCAAACCGAGCTGGGACCCAAATGTAAACCACGGCGAGACGTGAACAGGATATCGGCACGTTACTGGCCGCTGAAAGAAAAAATAGAACACCACGGTGTCTCACAGCACAACCTCATGACACGACTCTCCCAAGACACCCTCCGACCGCGTCCCACTAGACGGATCTCACAGCAGCTCGATGACGGACGCCACTGCTAGCACCGTTTGGCCGCACGACGACCGACACTTGCGACTAACGACGGACGCATCGCCCAGCGCGGGGCTGAAGGCTGAGAGCTGAGATGGAGAGCCAGAGCGGTTGCAAAGTCGGCTAGCGCGGGCGCGTTCCGAAGCCATCACGGCGTCGGCCGAGGATTGTGCCCCTGACCCGATGCGTGCTGCTGGACAGCATCAGCAATCCGCGACGATGTCCTTGGGGTTGCTGTTTCTGGCTGCATATTTACGTGTGTGCATCTGCGGCCGCAGCTGCTTCAACCAGTACCTTGCAGGAGGGTGGCCTCCAGGCGACAGCGATACGTCTCGTCCGATAATCACCAGCCGAGCACGGCACGTCTCTCTCTCTCTCTCTCTCTCTCTCTCTGACTTGACAGGCTAGGTTGAGTTTGCCAGGCCGGGAATAATCAAGTCACCGACCCAATGGGCCGGCCCAGGACACAGGCGAAGTCCATGATCAATATTTGGCCAGAATCAATTTCCTCATAAAAGGAAGAAATTCTTTTCCGTTGTCTGTACGGATACTCCGTAGAGACTAGTCGCGTCAGAATGCATACTCGACCAAAACAGCAGTGGTCTCCGGAAAGCACAGAACATGTCATTTACACACAGACGCTCCCCTGGCCTTGATTCGATCTTGGCCCCCCTTGTAAGCGCGATCGTTGCCCTCAGGCTTTCGCTCCCCCCCATGTCATGTCGGCTTGCTTACCACGAACGGTCGCCCCCCTCTTTCGCCCTCGCCCTCGCCGTCGCCATCGCCGTCGCCCTCCCCCACGCTCGCTTTCAAATTTCCTTAGCCCTCGGTGAGTGTGCTGCCTAGCCCGTGTGCCCTTGTCCTCCGCGGCATCCTGGAGCTGCAATGTAACATTACAGTCAGCAGTTTGTACGAAAGAAAAATGGCCGACTGGCGGGAGAGAACATCAGGGGCAGCCACGTCGAGGGGGGATTTCTGCACTAGCCTGACGTCGTACAGCCGTGAGCAAAGCATATTTGCGGCGGCTCGGGCGTTTCGCACGTCTCCTAGCAAGAGGCACAGAGGAACCTTCCCTGATGGTGATGACATATTATCTTGTTTGGGCAGCGGGCTGTGTCGGAGTCGGAGCCTCTTTCGATAGATGATGGCATCTCAGCAGGGCTAGGGTCTCAGGGGGGCTGCCTTTATCGGTTTCTGGTTTCCGGTTCTGGAAACGAGGTGAGCATTGTGCTGAGGTGAGCGTCCGCCACGAACGGTGAGATTGGGGCCAAATGCAGCAAAGCGGGTGTGGTCCAAGACAAACCTGCCCATGGTTGGATTCCCAACAGCGAGGAAGCTGGACGGGAGAGCTCCTTAGGCAAAAGGCCGCTGTTGATCCCATTGCCTGAACCACCGTGTTGGATTTTCGACTGCGGAGATGCAAAGGGCCCCGACAAACATTGCCTACTCTCAATGAAGAGGGCATGCACGGGAAAGCCTGCAGGCATGTTGGCGCTGTGTCCCATGTCTGCTCAGCTGCCATATCGACCGCCCTCACATCAGCGTCTCTCCCTCTGTTTCTTCCATCTTTGAGGGGGGGTGGTTGAGAGTGTTCCACCTGCCATCGATGTGAATCAGGGTGCGACCAGGTGACGGCCCATCATTGTTCATCCCATCACCGGCACTCCTGGGGATGCGAAAGATGGAGAACGAGCACAATTCGGTGTGCTGCAGATGACCTACCTAGGCCGCCTGGGGACCTGCCTGCCTTCCGCGATCCTAATATGCAGCGAAGTCGAGCCCCGCCCCTCCGTCTTTGCATTGTTTCTTTTTTCGAGTGCTCGTCTATCTCTAGCAGGGCGCGGGTCGTGACAAACAGGCTCGGTTCGGGTGCTGCTAAGCCCTATTCGGACTCGAGGTCTGGATGGTCTGGTGAGGGCCCCGCTATTCGTGTCAAAAAAATCAAAAAAAATCAAAATCAAAAAAAAAGGGGCAGTGAGTGATGGCGTTGCATCCAAGCGACTGTCTTATATTCTCAGCACTTATAGTGGCTCTCTTTTATTCCAAACGGGTGAGAAGCGATGGGACGGCGTGATGCAAGACAAGGCAAGAAAGACTAGCAAACGGGTCACGGCACTCGGCTCACGCGCGGCTGACGGCCAACGGTACCACCTACTGGTGCTGGCAAGGGTTGCTCGTCTCGATGCTTGGACGGCGGCACCTGGTGTCCCGTTATTTTCTCTCCCCGCATTCCTGTTGAAATGACGGTGGGGACCGCATGCTTGCTTGGTCCTCGGGTTATGGGTAGACAGACGACTTGTAGGGTCTGGACTCTTGACATCTCTGTTTGCCGTTGGATGGTCATTGCTCCATAAGCGGTCTTGGGTCACTGGGTGTTCTGTTCCGATATTTGCTCTGGACAGATACCAAAACAACGCATCAGATAGGGGAGGCAACTGGGTCGCGTCCATGAATACGCAGTAGTGTCGATCTTGGGGGCGTAGCGCCACGCTATGTGGAACCTCCGGCTAACTACTGGGGCTCGGTGACCATGAAGCTGTCCCATTTCTAACCTCATTCCGTCAGGTGGGAGGGGGGGGGGGGGGTTCGCATAGTTTGTTGCACAACGCTCGCCGAAAGAAACGAGGCAGGGGAGGGGAATATACACTACTACTAAGCAGCAGCAGCAGCAGCAGCAGCAGTAGCTCTGGCGAATCGAGCGGCATGCATGTCCGAATATGCCAGGGCCGTTGGAACCATACTGCGTAAGCTTGCGGTCCCTGGTCGTCGGTCGATTGGCCCTTCGCTTCTTCTCAGCCCGCGAGTAGAGCGATGGGAAGACCTGGACGACGATCACTCATACTGCTCAGCTAGCAGCATCCTGGATGGGGTGTCCTTTAGGCCTCATCAACAAGCCTCGGTGTCTATTGAAATCACCAGGCGAGTGAGCACGTCCTTCCAACGCGCCCGCTATCCTCCTCGCTTTGTGGCTTGGCGACCCCAGCTAGCAGCCGGACGCTATTGTATCCGACACTACCGGTGTCTAGAAGCCTTGCGACGTTTCTTCCCTGGCGGGCAGCGCTTACTCCGCTCGAGAAACGAAGGATTTAGCTCGGCGTAACAGCCGTCGTGATAAGTGACCAAAAGCTTGTGGGCTGCCGTGCGTGTGTGACTGCGGGCAGTCAAAATGTTGTCTCGGATTGCGACGACTATCAAGTAGCGGGGGCCGTCATGTCTGCATTGCCCATAACGAAGAGCTTGCCCAAGGCGACATGGTCGTCCAGCGGGGGAGAAACACTGCAAGGCATGAAGGGCGCCCCCCCTCCAACAGGCCAGGCATGCCAAGCTTTGGGGTTGGAATGGCGAGGCACATCCTCCTGTCGTGTTACACGAGCATTCGCAATTCTGCCAGTTTCCATAGTGGCAGAGTCACCACCATCCCTGGGCGTATCGACAATGGCAACCCGGGGCAGATTATGGAGCCTTCGCATACCTAGACTCGTAATGACGCGCCCGGTAGCCCTCCGAAGAGAGGCCAACATCAACCAGGGTGCAGAGAGGCCTGGACTTGCCTGGCCCTATGGTCTGCAACGATAAAGGTTGTGACGGGAGACCAATCAGAATCTGGTAGGCTGCATAGTCCTATATTCACCACACCAACCGTCCTGGGGGGAGGCCATCCGTCGACAATGGTTATGGTGCGCATGCCTAGCCATGCTGACGAGGTGGAGTGAGGCTGGTGTGCCACGGAGGGAGACAAGAGGACGGCGCCTCTTGGCCGTCCCAACCGGTTCCGAATCATCAGCTGCGCCAAGAGATCTCGCTCTCCCCATCTGTCTCGGAGTACGTCCTTGATGAGCGGCACCTCCTCCTCCTCCTCCTCCCCGGTCATATTGGCTCTCTGGGTGTAGCAAACAACTACCCCAACGGCCACTGGTGCGCGGCTAGGCCCATGGTGTGGTAGATACTCGCCTCTGCTATTACCTAGACAATTTTTTTTTTATTGTCGCTCACCAAGATTCCGATAGACCCCACGCCGCCACCGACGAGCGGGCGACACTCCATCGCTCGAGACCGTTGCGTGGATTGGCATGCAGGCCGCCCGCAAGCACTCACACGCAGCCCTTTACGTCTCGACGCCATTTGGTCTGGTAAGTCTCGGCTTTCTTATCTGCGGGCGTGTTTCCTCCTGTCTCTCATGCTGCATGGGTGATAAGTTCAAGCAATGCTTGCGGAGAGGTTCTGGTGCGTGGCCCCTCCAGGTTTCATACCATTGTCACCCACGCCGAAATGCAGACAGCACGCGTGTTCAGGCGGGTAGCCGAACCAGCAGCGCCACCAGAAAACCTCACCCGTCGACAGAGGCGCGCCTCGAAGCTTCAGCTGTGTTTGCCATCCGTCTGGCGCGGCGCCACGGGTCGACCATTCGCCCGTGGCCCTCCGCCCGCCTTCTGTTCCCAAAGGAGAGGGACGCATCTGTGACGGTATGCACGAGTGTGCAGATTCCCGGCCACCACCACCATCGTTCCACATTGACCGGGTAGGGACGGCCTCCTTCACAGATACCATCACACTGGCCAGTGTGATGGTTGCGACACCTCCGTTCGACTGCGCAGCCATCGTCAGCCAGTCACTCGACACCAATCCCCCTCAGCCTGCCTTCCAGGCTGGGTAGCTCCATCCTCGCCACCCAGTTTGCGGGAAGTGGGCGCCTAGCCAAGGACCTTCCTCGAAACCCCTCTTGGCGCATGTCCACCCATATGTCTCTTCCCAAAGCGGCCGTGAAGGTGTGTGTCCTGGACCACCCAGCATGGCGACCCCCCTGATGAGGTATAACCAGTCCTCGGCCTGCCTGTGAATGGGCCTCACGGTGTATCTCGCCCGTGGCCCATTGAAAAAAAAAAAAAAAGGTGCAAAGCCAAGTGAGGCGGTCCAGCCCTGGCGAGGAGGGCAGTCATTCCCGGTCAGTGGACCAATGGGGGATGGTTACCTCGGTCTGTGTAATGATGCTTCTTTCGGCATTTCTTTTTTTCGTCCGGTCGTTTCCTGCCGAATATGCCAGGGGCCAGCGACGATTCCCTCCGGTTGGGAACGTAGGGGGGGGGGGGGGGGGGTGCACGTCTGGGTTGCGAACCACGACGCATGGGGTCGAGAGGCCGACTGGAGGGGTTGAATGGCTTGTCGGGTCACGAATGGTCGTTCCTCGCAATATCTGCCACGGGGGCCGTTCTGCCAGAGGACGTGTCAGCGAGGGCTGATTGGGACGTCAGCAAATTTGCCCGGTTCGCCCTTGTTTTCCTGCTTAGGGCGGGAGGAACGGCCGAGTTTGAAGTCCGATGGATGACTGGCTCATATCCCGAGCCGCGGGGGTCTGGAACATGTTGCTTTTTCCAGCCCAATGCCCCTGGCCTGATTTTCTTCGCCGTTGTTGGATGTGTAATCTTTGCGCTGACCAGTCAGAATAGCGCCTTGCTCCTCCTCTCCATCCCGAAGGACTTCAAGCAGCTTGTTTGCTTTGATCGCTGATCTTAACCGAGTGGGTAGACGCGGCTCAAGGATCATTCCCGAATCTCAGTCCAGGATGGGCTGGCTGATAACGGAGATGCGCGCAGCCGTGGTGGTCCCCTTGGAAGGTCACACAAGTGCGCCCTGGCACAACAGCAGGGGGGGAAAACAAGAAAAAGGCAGCATCAAAAGAAGCTCCGGTGTAAGGGATGCAACCAGCATCGGGGATGAGGGTCTCGGAGTCATCACCTCCAAAGAAACCTCCGACATGTTTGAACTCGGCACTCGAGCAGTACGAAAAAGAAAGCGGGATATGACGGATATCCCCGGTGAGATGGAGCACAGACTCTGGTCTTTCACCGGTGGGGGGCCGGGCTTTCTTTTTCCTGTCTGTCGCTTGCCGGTAGGGCGATGACCTCCGGGGGTGCGGGATGATGACCCCACATCGGTGGGCGTTGGGAACGATGGCCAGCGCGGGAGGCGGCAGCTCGGTCGGGAGGTGCAAGCTCCGATCCCTTGCCTCTCGGTCTGCGGGGGTCTGGCATCATGGTCGAGCCCTTGCGATGGTCATCTCCGCGGTGCGAGGGGAAGCCATGCGGATGCGGCGTTGTAGAGTTCACAATCGAACGACTTGTGATGCGGGTCGACCAGGCCGAGGTGAATGAATGTATGTGCGTATCTGGCGCTACCAGCGCATCCGAAAAAAGGGGCAGACGCAGCAATCGACCGGATCGTCTCTTCATGCGGGTCTGATCGCAATGAAGCGGAGCATGCGTCGCGGGCGATTAGGTATCTCGATTGCAGACAGATCGGCTAGCTCGCCGAGTAGCTCTTTTCCGTCATGGAAGCGTCTCCATTGGCCCAGTTTGGTGATACCATAACAGTCCACGATGCACGATCTGGGCGATCCAAGGGCCCGTGATTGCAGGCCATACCGCGCATCTTCCATTCCGTTGTTGTGCAGCCAACCCAGCAGTGCCGCCCGCAGTGATTTGAGGCATTGTACCTACGTCTCCCTGAGCTTGGCCGGGGAGGACCGCCCCTGTCCGGCTGTGGGGACTGAAGATATCGAAGCATCACGGTGACGAAACAAAAAGAAAAAACGGCCGCTGCGGATTGCTTGGCATGGTTCGACAACAGGTTCGGCCCTGACTGGTTCCCGAACTTTTCGTTTGTCTGTACCCATGATTCATGAAGCCCGTGCCAGGAAAGCCCTGTGAGAAGACTTTATGCGAAGGATGCATCCCGTTACATGGGCGAGATGCGTGGACGACGCTCCATGGATAACGGGAAGGTCGTTCGACATGTCGCACTGCATGCTCACCGAGTTCCACCCACACAAAGTGCGGTTATACCCTGACGGCGATTTGAGATCGGGCTTGCCCCCGACTTGGAAGTGGTCTGGAGATGGATCCTGCTAGTTACTGGCTTGGATGCGTCCCGGTCCTGGGATCGATCTAGGAGCAGGTGGAACCCTCCAGATGGACCTGGAGAACGAGGGTAGGGTCGGTGTATACTGACTGTATCGATTGCGGGTTTGGATACGCCCACGGCTCTGCGGGGCATCGCGAGGCCATCTCGGGGCGCGCGATTTCGAGTCCTTGTGAATTGCTGCATGGCACGAGGCAGACCGGGATATGGGCGTCATGGAACATCGAGATGCCTGGGCTCTCCGCGCGTCTCATTTGCTTCTTCGTGGCGAAATGTGCCTCCATCTGGTTTGGAATGTGAGGGGGTCGTACAAGAGTCGGCAGCAATGGTGGGAAGTGCGGCTGCTCCGGCCACCAGTCCATGACAACGACTACGCCAGGGTCTGCTGCAACGCAGCCGTAGAAGCTGGAGGGGGCTTTGTGAACTGCGTTGTGTAGCAGGGAAAGGTAGGTGTAACCGCCTGGTGGACGTCTTGTCTCGATTCATGGCCAGACGGAGCGAGGAGGAGGAAGTTTACTCGTGCTGTAATCGGGGTCTATGAGGCCACCTAGTTGTTACCATTCTCTGAGCACATTGCAGTCTTTTGCTTCATCCGATACTCTATATTGTGGACTAGTCAAATATGAAACAGTGAAACTCATCGCCTGTGGCCGTTGCTTGACCGAACGGCCTTTACGTCGTTCCACAGGTGAGTACACCAGTGATGACTAGGCTGCGGTGCAAATTTGACAAGACGGAGACTCAGAACGCTGCAGATCCGAGTCGGTCAGCCCATGAGAGCCTAAAGTACACAACGGTATGAGTGACCGCATAGTTGAAGATGAGGACTTGGCTTCCAGCACGCTTGCTTCTCTGCTACCTACTGTGCTCATCAAACCTAACACAGATTCTCAGACTCGGCATCACACAGGATTATCGTATCGCGTTCCGCCATTGAACTCAACATTGAGTAGGTTACGGTGGTCGTGACCCCCCCCCCCCCCCCCGAAATCCCAAGCGCATGAGATGCATTGGTACATGAGCGTATTCGTCTATCTCTCACGAGGACCGCTGTATTCTGAGGAGCTTTAGCACAGGATCTTCAAGATGATGGAAGATTACGACTGGCTGTTCATGGTAGCACAAGGCTCAGCCGTCATCCACGACGGAGAAAACCAAACTAACAACGAAACAAAACAACTCGACTAAAGAATGGCAGTAGAAGTGTCGAGGGAGACATAATTTCAAGGTCAATGTCGATATGGCAAGCTGAACATGAGAGATGAAATGGTGGTTCTGGCTTAGGGTTATCTCGAGTTTGTTTTGGCATACTGGAGCGAGAGAGACACCGTGACAGTAGGGTAAGCTACCACCTCGAGCAGCTGAAAGACCATATCCGACTAATTTCCCCGCTATTTGCATTCCAGATGAGATCGTCAGTCCTGGTTACCAGTCACAAACGCCAGGACGATATACATACAAGTCCATGCGCGCTCATCGGCATTTGCCATTCGCGGTATTGACTCAGCAGCACAATGCTACACCATCTGATGATGCTCATGGACTTGATGTTCTCTCCCGATCCCTATCCCGTCCGGGCCACCACGCAGTCCAAGACTGTACGGACAGAGAGATCAAGGGCAAGGCAAAATGGAAGGCTTTTTAGCCGTCCCGGCCAGAATCCAGACTTGCCAGGGATTGGGCATGTTCTTCGAGTGGCGACATAGGCTGGTCTGCATCCACGCCGCTGAACGTAAACTGAGAAGAAGCGATACTCAATTTCGGCTTACAGCAAGACCTCGATACACTCAAGGGGCCCATGATTTGCCGGATCAGATGGTTAGACTCCTACTTGAGTGAGTATCTGAAGTGTGCAGCAGCAACGAGGACGGCAGCTACCCGGTTGGTAAGGTGAACCTCGAACAGTAGCTGGAAGATTTCACTCAATGCCCAGCTATAACCAATGACGGTTATCAGACAAATTGATAAGTAATGGCTTGAAAGTGTCCAATGATGAAGAGTAAAGTAAGTCCATGGTGTTCTAAGGAAGCCGGCCCAAAACAGGTTGCTTCTCTCGCCCGAGGCCACAAGACATCCCAGAGCGATCGCCAGTGATTCAGAGTTCATGTAACGATCTGATGTTGTGTAATTTCCTCAATAAGTGTGTAATTCTCTTGAATTGAAAACACTGCATCAGCTTGCACAGATTAACGTCTCGCGCAGCCAACTTGCCTCTGGTTCATTCACAGCGCCAATATATGCTGCCAAACGCTTTTCCAATGCTGGAATTTCCACCGATGGTTTCCAAGCTCCAAGTGCGGGTCCACGTTTCTGACGTAGTTGTTTCTAGCGCCCGAGATAGCAGTCGTGTTTGCAATGCCATGTCGTCCAAGCCACACCCACCGCCACAGCACCGGATCCGGACAGCTCGCGCCGACCGGCCCCACACCCCGCGGACCCCACCATCAGAAAACCCCTGCATGCTAGTAGACCTTTTGGCTCGGGCGAAATTCAATCCAAGCAACTTTTTGCGACGACATCCCGCCCCGAAAATTCGAGCTTCACGAACCACGACCGATTGACGAACCACTGAGCTGCCGCGGTCCACTCGAAGCCAAAGGAAAGGTCAAATTCGAGCAAACGTAAAGGGGAAAGGTCCGATAAGAAACCATAGGAAGAGCGAACCCACATCATGGCGTCGGCACAGCAGGTTCTGCTCTCCCCGGCAGAGCTCGCCTACCTCCACTCTTCGCTCTCCCTCACGCCGCCCATCCGCCCAGACGGCCGCAAGGCGAATCAGTTCCGCCCCCTCACTGCCGAGACGGGCATCCTCCCGGGAACCAACGGCAGCGCGCGCGTGTGCTTCTCCGACGGCACCGAGGCCATCGTTGGCGTCAAGGCAGAGATAGAAAAGACCCGCGTGCCGCCCGGCGCGGAGACGGACGGAGAGGCGACGGAGAAGAGGACGGAAGGCGGCGATGGCGAGACCAGGGGCAACAACGACTGGCTGGAGATGACAGTCGAGATCCCCGGCTCCAGAGACGACGACGCGGCGACCGTGTTCCTGTCCAATATGCTCAGCGAGGCGCTGCTCGCTGACGGGGAGTTCACCAAGAAGTTGCGGATTAACAATCGGTTCCACTGGAAGCTCTACCTAGACGTACGTCCCCCCCCCCCCCGCCATCCCCTGCAGGAGACACGGCTAATTCGTTGCAGATCCTCCTCATCTCCCCGCCGCTGTCGTACCCCCTCCCGCTCCTCTCTCTCACGACGCACCTCGCGCTCCTGGCGACCCGGCTGCCACGGCTCAAGTCCGAGGGCGACGAGGACCCCATGTTCGACGACGACTGGGAGGCCTCGACATTCCTCTACCCGCGCGACGGCAGCGCCCCCGTGACCGGCTCGCGGCCGCCCATCACGCTGCTCGTCATCGCCGTCGGCGGCAACATCATCTTCGACCCAGCGCGCGAGGAGCTCGCCGTGGCCGAGTCGGCGCTTGCAGTCTCGGTGGCGGAGGAGAAGACGGCGGCATCGGCTGGCGGCATGGATGTGGACGGACGCCAGCTGAAGCTGCTCGCCGTGCGGACGGTCGACCCGCCCTCGCGACTGACGGCGCCCGGCGTGCCCAACTCGGCGAACCCCGCCACGGGCCTCGCCGGCACGCCGTCAAAGGCGCCGCCTGCCCCCCCGGCCGGCGAGGACAAGGCGGCAGAGGGCGTGTGGAGGCCGCCCATAGGAGGCACGAAGCTGCACGTGCTCGAAGGGATGATTTTCCAAGGTACTAGAGAAGGGAGGCATTGCGGACGAGGTGCTCGAGGGGATTGCCGCGGTGGACTTGGCCTAGGTGCGGCTGGATACGGGTCACGCTTTGCGGCACGTCAGGATGGCAAGGGGAAATAGGACAAAAAAAAAAAAAAAAAGGCATGATACCAATTGGTGGCCCTGGGTTGAGACTCATGTTGTACATGGTTTTGTTGAGGGTATATTACAGGATAAGGCCGCAGCCGGTCGTATCGCACAAATGGTTGGCGGCCCATATCTCACGGCCGACGTTCAAAAGAGGCCGAACCACTTCTTCTTGTTGCTCTTCTCCCCCTCTCCCTCCACGGGCACGATCGCGGCAGCGTCCCCAGCCACGGGTGACGCCTCGGCTGCAGCGACGGCCGCCGCCTTCTCCTCCTCCGACTCCTCCTTCATGCCAAGGAAGTTGGCAATGGGGTTTTCCTTGTCAAGCCCGTGGGCCTTGCGGTAGTAATGGCGTTTGGCGACGTCGTCGGTGTGGCGCGAGTGCATGGCGATGGCCTTCTCGTTGCGGTCGCGCTCGTGCAGCTGCAGGACGTGGACCCACGTGCGGACGAACTCGATCGGGCTGCTCCAGAAGTCGGACGCCGGGGGGAGGAGGTGCTTGAAGGGCGAGGTTTGCGTGAAGTTGAGGGTCAGCGTCGTGATGGCCAGCGTTGTGAGAGTTCCCTGTGGTTCCGTCAGTAAGCAGGTCCGCCGAACACGCCTGACCGGCGACATGGGAGGTGCAGTACCAGCGAGATGAAGAGATGGATTTTGCGGTTGTTGAAGAACCAGTGTGCCCATGTGCCCTCGGGGGCCATCATGCCGGGGTATTCGCGCGTCCGTTGCGCTCGCACCTCCTGCGCGCTGAGGGGACCGCCGTAGTGCTTCGGGCCGTTCTTCTTGGGCAGCCGGGCGCCGTGGGAGGGCGGATTGAACTTGGCGGGCTTCTCGAGGATGAGGGGTCCCTTCTGGCCCGCGCCGGTCGGCTTCGACGCAGACGAAGCGTACCGAATCGTCCACGCGGTGTTCCGGCGGAGGGTTGCGGCGGCCGGCCGGCCGGCCGAGGTCGCTGCTGCGCGCCACATGGGGCCCATGGCCGGGAGGAGGAACCTGGGGAGGATGGTCGTGGCCGAGGTCGTCATTGATGTCGTGTCGCCACTGCGAGCGTGGTGGCAAGTGCTGGGTCTAAATCTTCCCTTCCGGTGTTTGCCGATGGACGAAGCTTAAAATCAAATAAGAGTTGGTCACCAGGACTGCACCGGTTCAGGCTTTCGGGTCAGGCTTATGTTTCACGGCGTCATTGAGGCTTTAGCCTGGATCGACGGGATCACCAGGTGAGCGCAGTCGGCAGGGTCGGTCGGGGCTGGAAAAATCGAAGCTCCAGAAGAATTTCTCAAGACCTCTCTGTAGTGGAGCTGCGATGGGGCCGCCGAACTACCCCCGTCGGCATCCGGGCGCTGAGGTGCGAGGTACGTACCTGATCCGTAATTTGCGTGATACCCCCTGTTCATTAGAGGCGCCTCCACAAATTGAATCTTGGAGGTTGGCCCGTCTCGTTCGGGCTCTGCAACGAACAGAGACCGAGGGGAGAGAACAAAAGGGCGCAACGTACGGGGAACTTGCGAGAGCCCCAATGGAGGTTCGGGGAAAATGAGACGGCGAATTTCCTACCTACTATACAGTAGATCTGCCGAACCTGCAGGAGGACGAGAGAAGAAAAAAAAAAACTAAAAAAACTTGTTTGACACCGTCGACCATGCTGGCCCGCCGGCCCGCCGCTGATTAAGTCGTTGGCCAGCCAAAACCACCGAGGCGCAGCGGATAAAGAGTTCTTCCGTGCCAGTATCCGGTTTTGCCCGGACCAAGGATCCCAGGCGCGTAGCCGTCTGACCATTGCTGCACATCTGATTGGCAGCGACGTCGCCACACCGTGTGGCTTGTGCGCCATGGGACCCAGGTCAGTGAGCTAATTCCAGGCTTTTTGCAGTCCTTGGTACCTTTCCGTCGGGTGTTGTCATAGCCAGAATCGGATGGTGCTTGAGGTACAGTCCATGTCGTCTCGTCTTTTTTTCTACCTGGCCCGATCCGTTCCTAAAAGTTTTTTTTTTCCCTTTCCTTCCTCTCTATTCCAACTCTCACTCATCTTCAACCTCAACGACCAACTTTGACGACGACCTGCAAAAGACATTTCTCTTTTGCAAGTTTCAACCGATACCCTTTTCCAACTCCTTATAATATCCCTATAATCCGTCAAGATGGCTGGTGGTAAGTTGCTCTCGCGCGCGCATTTCCCATCCTTTCCGTCGTGGTTTGGCGGATCCTGAGAAGCCTCCCCTCTGGGTGTTTGAGCCGGTTGTGAGCCATTGAGCCGCGATACCGTCCAATCTGAACCCGTCTCGGGTCTCGCCGTCAACGTCCTGTCCTTCTACCCGTCTCCAACGAACATGGTGCGCCATTTTCCTCGGTGTTCGCTACCCGGGAAGAGGGAATGGAGGCGGATCAGGAGCAGAGACACCGACGCGTCGGGCAGAGCAATCGCACAAGCACCGCTCGAGAGGCGACGCGCTCAACAGGCTCCCGGGACCCCAACCACGGCGACCAACAGCTCCCTCAGACCAATAACTGACCCTGGTGATCAGGTGACGCTAAGAAGGGTGCCAACCTCTTCAAGACCCGTTGCGCCCAGTGCCACACCGTCGAGAAGGACGGCGGCAACAAGATCGGCCCTGCCCTTCACGGCCTCTGGGGTCGCAAGACCGGCTCCGTCGACGGCTACTCCTACACCGACGCCAACAAGAAGAAGGGCATTGAGTGGAACGACCAGACCCTCTTCGAGTACCTCGAGAACCCCAAGAAGTACATCCCCGGCACCAAGATGGCCTTCGGTGGTCTCAAGAAGGAGAAGGACCGCAACGACCTCATTGCGTATGTTGACCCGACGTCTCACTACTGTCAGGATCCGCTCGCTAACTGTGCCTCAGCTACCTCAAGGATGCCACTAAATAGACGGATTGACGTGTAACGATAAGATTGCATTAGACGGACTGGCGATTTGCGACGAATTGTACCAATAGACCACCTTAGAACAGTGTGTTTGGGGCTTAATCATGCCCTTGTGCCTCTTGAAAATTCTCCCCTTTGAGATGTTGTAATACAACACATATTTTTTTTCTCTTTCATTCACGAACCAAAACCGCTGCCCCGAATCGCCCCGTCGTGCCAATGATGTCAACCGGCGCGATCCCGAGCCCGGGAAAACCGCCTGTTCACAGGCGACTAGTGTGGCCCACAGTAGCCAGTCGGATGACTCGTCCAACGTCGATACCCTGGCTGGTCGGGTGGAACACCGTCATCACTTAGTCCTATGGCCTCCAAGGGAGCGTGTCGCTGGTCACAGAAACGAGACTTGGTCGATCAGCGAGGCTTGGAGCCAGCACTAACAGAGGCCAGGTCATGAGTGTGCAGCAAGCTGTGGCTCTAGTTGACGCCGGGAAAGTCTCGAAAGTATGCCTTTGCTGCATGCCCGACTCGTGCGCCGTGACTGTCACTTTCCCACTCTCAGTGGTCAATGACTCTCGACCCAATCGCCGAGGTGTCGCAGCGCTGCGCATGTTCTCCAATTCCCCGCTTTCGGTCGTCACGAGCGAGGGACAACGATGGCGAAAGCGCGGCAGTGCCCACGAATCACCCAGACACTTGATATGGGAGGGGGGGGGGAGGTTGACATTTCTGACGGAAGTTGGGAAATCAATGCAATATCATCATGCCTTTCTGATGCCCTCCTGCATGCCCCCTCCCCTAATTTTCCCTGTTGATCGGTTAGTTCCCGTGTGTAAAAGTCTTCAGACAGCCTGCCAAGACTCGTATTATCTCTTAAAGGGAAACCCTCAAGAGCGCCAGCCTGTTCAAAAGACCATCGCCGGCTGCTATTTGATGAGCGTCTCACGGAGCCGCGGAGCGTTTGCCCACTGCCTATGAGCACGAAAACACCATGCCACGCAGATGGGGCCTCGCGGGGAACACAAACGGAGGAACAGAACAGACAAAGTATACTTTTCTCTACCAGTCTATAGTCTAAATCATGTTTGGTGGTGCAGCTTGGCGGCCAACCGTCTATACGTCTCCGGGTTCGGCACACTGGGCCTCGTCTTGCTCAAAGCGGTCTCCCAGTCCTCCCGCGTCAAGGCCGGCTCGCCCCCCTCGTAGCGCAGCACGCACTCGTCCAGCGCGTTTTTGTACAGCCCGTAGAGGTCCGCACCGCTGAACCCGGCGCACCGCTTGTCTCTCGCGATGGCCTCGATGTCGACGGCCCCGCTGCCTTCGGCCCCGCCGATGCCGTTGCGCACGATGGTGCGTAGGATGTCGACGCGCTCGTCCTCCGTGGGCAGGTCGACGAAGAGCAGCTTGTCCAGCCGACCGGGACGCAGGATGGCCGGGTCGATCATGTCGGGCCTGTTACTGGTGCCGATGACGTACACCTCGCCCCTGTCGCCGGCGCCATCGAGCTCGGCGAGCAGCGCATTCACGACGCGGGCGCCGGCCTCGGTCGTGGTGTTCTCCCGCTTGGGCACTAGCGAGTCCATCTCGTCAAAGAAGAGGATGCAGGGCGCGCACGACTTGGCCCTGGTGAAGAGCTCGCGGATGGCGCGCTCCGACTCGCCCACGTACTTGTTGAGCAGCTCGGGGCCCTTGATGAGGATGAAGCTGGCCTGCGCGTCGTTGGCGACGGCCTTTGCGACGAGCGTCTTTCCACACCCGGGCGGGCCGAACAGCAGCACGCCGGCCGGGCGCTGCTTGCCAAACTTCTGGAACAGCAGCGGCTCCTTGATGCGCCGGACGATGGAGACCTGGAACGCAGCGCGGACCGAGTGCAGCGCGCCGACCTCGGACCAAGACGTGCTGGGGATCGAGCTGAAGCCCTCGCGGCGCATGTAGGGCGTATGCTCGGCGATGGCGTCGACAAAGTCCTGCTGGCCGACGCGGACGCGGGTGGGCTCCGTGTAGGCCGGGTGCTCAATGAAGTCGTACCATAGACATGCGTCCTCGAGGTCGCGATCCCAGGGGGCCTCGGAGGTCTCCATCCGTTCCGGGAGGATGGTGTTCCGCGCGCGCGCCTGCTCGACGTCCATGAAGCGGTCACTGGCCTTGCGGTTGGCGACCTGGATGACGGCCCGAATGTCGTCTCCGACGAAGCCGTGCGTGCGCACCGCCAGGGCCTTGAAGTCGACCTCGGGCGGGATGTCGAGGTCCCGCGTTAGGGCCCGGAAGATCTCCTCGCGGGCGTCCGTGTTGGGCACCTTGACGGTGATGGTCTGCGCGAAGAAGTCGGGCCGTCGCAGCGTCGGGTCGACCAGCTCGAGCTTGCTCGTCGTGCCCACAATCACCACGCGCGAGCCCTCCCGCTCCCACTCCCGCAGACGTCGGAGCCCCAGCTTCAGCTGCGAGACGACCTCATGGTCGAACTCGCTGTGGCTGTTGCCCGACTTGGTCATGTACTCGTCGAGGTGGTCAAAGAGGACCACACACGGCGCGACCTTCTTCGCCTCGTCCAGCACGTCAGCAAATATCTTGCTGACCTTTTCGGGCGACCGCGTCTCGGCCAGGTACCGCCCGATGGAGATGACGGGCGTCCTCGTCCTCCAGGACAGCGATCTCACAAGCGACTGCTTGCCGGTGCCCGGGGGCCCTGATATCAGGATGCCCATGGGCTGCTCGCCGAAGCAGACAAAGTCCTCGGGCTTCCGCGTCCGCGCGAAGACGTAGCGCTGCAGTTCCTCGATGATGCCGCGTACGCCGCCGAGGACGACGGAGCCGGGTGGGATCTGCTCCGGGCCGTACTTGCTTGGCTTGGACGCCTTCTTCGTGGCGACCGTCTGGGTCTCCGCGGCGTCGCCGTGCTTAGACTTGGACCTGGAGGCCATGCCGGAGCCGTCGCTGACGTGGCCGGCACCGTTGGCGGCCTCGGGCTCCGGCGAGATGCGGCGCTTCTTAGTGCTCTTGCCCTCGGACCCCTGGGCCGTCGGCACCGCGGGCGTGACGTTCCAGTGCTTTGTCATTTGCCGGTTGAGCAAAAAGCGGTCTTCCTCCTGCAAGGTCTGGGTTAGAGATGTGACGGGTGAGTAGATCGATGAGGACTCGCCTTGTTCGCCATTTCGGCCTGCTCCAAGAGGTCGTCGCTATCCTCGGACTCGGCCTCTTCCTCCTTGCGGAAGTCCAGCACGCGCTCTATTGCGTCCTCCAGCGGGCGCCTCTTTTGCCGGCTGAGGCTTGAATTCGACTTTTTAATGGCTTCGTAGACGGCCGTCACCGTCAGCTTGGGTTTTTTCCTCTTTCCGTCACCCCTGTCCTTTTTGGCCGCCCATTCCCCGTCCCTCTCGTCTTCCAGTTTTTTCACAATCTGGTATACATCACGGTCGAGGCCGTGACGGAGGCTGATGCGGGCCATCCTGGACGACGGAGACACTGGCACTGAGGAGGAAAGGCTTCTTGATGCGGCGCAGAAGGCGAGCGTAGGAAAAAAAAAAAGGATTGCAGGTGGGATATACGAATCACGTACTATGATTGGTTAAGAGGTATATATGACCCACAAAATCAATGTTGCGCTGTGGATATGGCTTACGCCTTAGTGACCCAGCGCCAATCGGGTTTATAGTACCTCTATTTTTACAGAGACTCTTAACCTCTATGGTTTGGGTAGATAACTGTATATCTCCATGGCATTCCATCAGAAACGTATATTGTATCAAGTACCGCGCATGGTACTTTCACGGTATTCCCCCCCCCCACCGTATATCGTCGTTATTGCGTATCTGTAGGACCGCCCTTGTGCCTGTACCTTCGTGTCGCCAGTTATTTTTGTCTTGGTGTCTTGACGACTATCAACCTCACCCAGTTTGAGGATAATGAAAACCCTCACAGAGAGTGAATGAGCATGAGTTGTCGCATCCCCAGGGCCGTCTCACAGCTCCCAAGACGCCTTCGTGAGGCCCTTCACTTTCTCGAAAGGTTCTATTCTAATAGAGTTGCGAGTTCACCTGAGCTGCCACTTATACAGCCAAGTCTGAGTGACCGAGGAGTCTCATCTCTCTGGGAGGGCAATAGGAAACATGACAGGGAAAGCAGGATGCTGGATGGCCCTAGGAATCATTCCACAATTAAATGGGGCTGGGCGATGTGACGGAAACCTGGACGCATCGTCGGCAGGAGCCTGACAAGCGCTTTCAGCGCCTAGAGAGGGCCAAGGAGAAGTCGTTATCCCATGCGCTTACGCATCATTCGTTCAACAAGATCACCACGGATGTGAGCGGCTGCAATCTATCTGCTTGATTGGCCTACATAGAAAGCTTTCTACCCCTACCTTCGGCATGTGGGCCGTCGTTGCATAGCTTTTATTTTCATTTAGTCCTCCATTGTCGTTGCCTCTGCTCGCCACATGGTGAGCTCCGGACCCAGCGCTCTCGAAAGGGCACCGCCGTCAACCCTCGTCACCATTTTCCGTCGTCAGATGAGCGAAAGGAAATAAAACGACTCCATTTGTGTCAACGCCAGAAGGGGGGGGGGGGGGGGGGAAGGGAGCCTAACGGCGGCGAAAGGATATCCTGCAATCGTCATGTCATCTATCCATGGTATCACTACAGAATGAGCGGGCGAACGTGGGCCGCAGAGCCAGGGATTGGCGAGTCGAGCTCTAGCCCGTGACGCATGGCTTCTGGTCAGAGCCCGTAGAGCTCCCACTCATCGAATTCGGTTTGCTGTCCCCCAGGGTCTCGTGCCGCAGTGCCTGCGTCCTCGAGGTCCCTGAGCGGGGCATACTCAGTTCGTAACTCTTGAGCAAGTCACAACTCGTCGTCCTCCAGCTCGGACGGCTTCAACAGACCGCCGACCTTGCCGCGGCGCTCGAGGTCGGCCGCCTTGGCGTCCCGCTCCTGCTGCTCCTTCTCGACCTGGAATAGCTCTGCGTTGTCGCCGGCGAACTCCTTCAGAGAGATGAGGAAATCGCGCAGGTT